TCAGCTCCCACTTCCTGCATGTCCCCCTTTGCTCGCACACAGCACGCAGCAGGGGAGTTGAGCTGAGTCCATCGAGCAGGTGCTGACCAACAGGCTTACAAAGCCCCGCGACCGGCTGTATGGTCGCTGCCCCTCTGAGCAAGGACAGCTGGGAGAGGGTAGGAGTCGCTGCTCCGCTGAGCCTCTGGCACTCCTTGAACCAAATTCTGGAACCCAAGTGCAGGCTCGGTCACTGGGTGGGCGGGGAGGAGTACCGGCCACTGCATGGAGAAGGGTTTTCCCCCAAACCCACTTCCTCCACTTCCTCCCTTCTCTCCCCCTAGTCCTGGAGCCTGGGATGACCCAAGGCAGTCACAGCTTTGCCAACCTGTCTGACGGAAGAGATGGCAGGGGTCCCCGCGCGAGTCTGCATCCCCGGGGCCGCCACCCCAGCTGCCTGGAATCTGCTGGGTGAAACACACCCGATTCCGTGAAAGCGGTAAGAGGGAAAGCAGCGTGTGTCCCTGCCGCGAGGCGGAGATCAGGGACCCTTCACGGCCCCCGCACCCGTGAGCTCTGCCCGCAGCCCCCGACGGATTCTCCGCGGCTCAGCACCAGTCCTCCTACGGCCCGGAGGGCGGAGCGAGGCTGCTGTGACGTAACGGGGGGGGGTGGCGTGGGGAAATGTGCCGAGGGGCCAGGGCTCCGCGGGGCCAGTCCCGGCGACGCAGCCACCCGTGCGCGAGCGATCGCTCGGCCACCAGCGCCCCAGCCCCAGTCCGCGCTCGGCGCTGGGGGTCTGCGGGCCGTTCGGGCTCCGGACGGCGCACGGGGCGGGCGGGAGCCGGCAGCGCAGGACGCCGAGCTCCAGGTGCCCGGCAAGCGGCTGCGCGCCTGGGTACCGGCTGGGTTGGGGACTGTCGCTGGGTGCTGAGCTAGTGGATTGCAGCGGAAAATCAAAGGTGAGGCGTGTGAGAGTGTGTGTATGTGTGTGTGCGTGCGAGTGTTTTGTGTGTGAGAGAGACGCACTTGGGCACCTGGGTGGATCTGCGCTGCATGGTGGCTCGCACCTCAGTGTGCCCGAGGGTAGGTCCCGGTGTGGGGTTCTCTGCCCTGTGCCTTTTGGAGGATGATTTTTGTGGCAAGGAAGGAGAGCGGCTGTCCCGCCATGAGTGGGGGCTGTGGGTCATGTGTGCAGGAATGGACGTGTTCACACCGCCACAGGCTGGTGCCCCTGGCATGCGCCCTTATCCAGTCCTCGTCCCCCAGCCGACTGCTCCAGGAGGTAGCTGTGACAGGGACAACTTCTCTCCCAGCCACCTGCAAAGAAGCCTCCACGCGAAGAGAGCCAGGCTGCTGGGGCGGAGAGGGGTCTGTCCCTTCTGGGGGCTTCTGCGGGCGTGCATCCCGAGATCCAAGCCTGGGAGGGGCAGGCGGCGGAGCAGAGAAAAGGGAGCGCTTCTCCGTCCTTTCTTTCCCCCCAGGGAGACGGATGCCGAACGGTCTAGGGTCTGCTCCCCCAGCGCTCAGAAGGAGAGGACAGTTTGCCTATGTTTGGAAAGAATGAATCCCTGAGTGGCCTGCGCCCCCGAGGCACTGGCTAAGTCCCCAGGCAGCTGTCCCCCCCGCTCCCAGCGGTCCCTGATGTCTCGCCACCCCCTCCCCGCGTTTAGAAACTGGGGTGCTGGCGCAGCCGTCTTTAATCTCCCCCATCATCCTCCTGGAAATAGCAGGGAATTCTTTAGGAAACCCTTTGATCTTAGAGCCATCAAGTTGGATGATGAGAATTTTCTGTGCCAGTCCTGAGAATGGAACAGGCTGTCCCGAGTCTCACCTCTCCCCCATGCCCTTCGCCAGTGCTGCTTGGGCTTTTCTTAGGCACTGGAGCCCCCACCCCCCACCCCATGGTGGCCTGCACCTGGCTATTGTCTCTCCCTCCGGTGGGGCTCGGCTCTGGGGGTGGTGAGACCTACTGGGTTCAGCAGGCCACTGGATAAGTGGCGGTGGGGAATGAATGGAGTGGATGAGGGCTGCAGGGGTGGAATGCTGGGGAGAAAGGAGAACTAAAGGCGAAGAGGATTTAGCATGGTTCCTGATGCCCAGTCCCCATCCCCATGCTCAGTTCTTAGGCTCTGGGAAAAGGAAGGGATGCTCCAGACCATTCTCACCCTCCTCTCCAGCGCAGCCCAGACTCCGTCTCAGAGAAAACCAACAACCAGCCATTTCCAGGGTCTGTAACTCTTGGGCTGGAAAAATAAAGCAAGCAGAAACCCAAACTTCCTTGTGCATTTAATCGAGCCACAATCCAACAAGTAGTGATTGCCTGACATGGGGCTCCACTTTCACTGGGACCCAAATGAAGCAGAAGTCACTCGGAGACCTGAGGCAGCAGGCTTCACTGTTAATGAAATCAGAGTCACTGTGATTTAAACTCATTCCTTCCTTGGAGGAGCCTCCCCACTCTAGACTGGCTCCCCAGCTTACCTCCTCTCCCACCTTCACCGAGCTCTGCCCGCTGTCTGTGGTTGCTTCCTAGCCTGCTTAGAAAAACATTGACCCCATGCAGTTCCAAGCCACTGACCGAGACTCCAGCCAAAAAGGCAGAATTAGGGCTGGAGGTCAGCGTCTGACTCTCCCCCACCCACCTGCACCATCATCAGCCCCATCCCCAAAGCTCTAGACAGAGTTTCTGCCACCCAGGGGTCTTCAGACTCACCCTGACTTTGGAGTGTGACCTTGCACGTTACATAGACAGCACTTGGGAATGCTAGTGGTTGATGTACCGTCCAGTGCAGGCGGCTTCAGTGGGATTCTGGGTCTGTAGAATTAAAGTACCCATAAGACAGAAAAATGGTGGAAACAACCCAAATTGATCAAGGGATACCAAAAATGGTCCCTTTACAACTTTTTTTTTTTTTTTTTTTTGAGAGCTGCCGGATTTTGCTTTTTACCCAATGCAGACATTATATCCTGGGTCCCCAAAGTACTTAGCAGAAAGGTCAGCCACAAAGCCCAGACCCCACTTTACAGACAGTCTTCTGGTAGGGAAATGAGCACAGAGAGGATAAACAGTGCACCTGGCAGTGCAGAATGAAAGGTAGGCAAGGCAGAGGCAAAGGTAGGCAAGGGTCCTCGAGTACTTGTTGCTGGTGAAGGCCCCCCTAGCTAATTAGCAGTCTCTCCCAACATAAAGGAGCCATCTCCAATCTTCTCTCAGGCATGGGGTGGGGGGGAGTGCCCTGCTCAGGAGAAATGTGTCCTCCGAGTGAATTATTCCCACTACGTGCTGAGCACGCCACCCTTTACCGTCTTCTCTATTCCTGGAATGACCTCCTTCCTGCCCTCCCTGCTTCACTCTTCATATACTCAAGACCCAGCCCAAACCCTCCTTTTATGAAGGCTTCTCTGAATTCTCCAGGAAAGGAGGGCATCCTCAAGCCCTGGGTTCATTTCTCCACAAAATTCACACCCTAGATGAGCGGGCTTCCTCTGCCTGTCTCCCCTCCTAAATTGGGACCTCCAGGAGGTCACCAGCCACGGCTCTTTCCTGCCTGTATCCCCGTGTGCAGAACAAAGACGTCCCCCAGCTCTGGCGGTAGATAAATCCTTTACTTAAGTGATAAGCTATTGTTTCAGATCTTAAGCCAAGCCGGTAGTGTTACAATTACTTTCCCAGCATGATGGTAAAACAGGAGTCAGCTGTTTTAAACCAAAGCCCAATTACCAGTCACTCAGTTTTCCAGCCCACTGAGCAGCGGATAGGATACTGCAAAAAGTGCAGTAGGGTCGGGTGTCCCATGTTTAAATCTCAGTTCTACCTGTTATATACAGGGGACGGAAGCAAATTACTTCAACTCCCTAAGCCTCAGTTTCTCATCTGCAAAATGGGGATGGTTATCCCACTTCCACTGGGAAGATCAAGGGGATAATGAGTGTGAATGAGCTACTGTGGTGTTTGGGATTCACTTCTGTGAATGAGCCTGCCTCCCTCATGCCTGGCTCCTGTATTCCTCCTTCATGGGGGATCCCAGGCAAATCCTCTGGGGTGCTAGAAGAGGAGCGTTCTGGGGCAGCATTTCCCTGAGGGACCCTCTGAGGCATGTGGAGGTCAAGCGCTGGGGACTGGAGAAATGAAAACAGAAGAATCAAAATAAACTAAATCTAGATTTTTAATATAAAGGCCAAGCAGACTTTCATTTTTAGTATTTAGGACCATAGATTTGGTCATTCTGTGGGCAGCTTTCCGCAGATTACAGATACACGAGATGGCAAAGGAGAAAGCGGGGGCAGGTAAGATTGGCTGAGTCCCCAGTATGAGCCCAGCACAACACTAGGTGCTTCCATACGGGATCTCATGCCTCAACCTTCCGGATGCCGCCACTGTCACCAGTGGGAGTCAGAGTGGTTAGGTGCCGGGCACGAGGTCATATGGGCTTCCTGGTGGAACCCTGGTTTGTTTTACCTCTAAAGTCTGGGGTTTTTCCACTCTGGGGTTTCCAGAATGGAAAGACTCCAAAGCAGTCAGCAAGCGGAGACGTCCTCGTGGGGAGCAGGCCGGGAATGCTGGTGTCAGATCTTTTTGAGTCAGGGGCTGGACTCCACATTCTGCCTTTTTACAGTCTGTTCCAGTCAACTTCTTAGGAATCAAAGGACAAATTCTGTTTTTTATTTTTTATTTTTGGTTTGTATTGGGGGTTTTCTTTGGGGGGGGGGAATTGTTTGTTTGTTTTTTTGCAGCCACAGCCATCTCCCACATGTGCGTCACCAAAGATGACGAGATAAACTGTGATGATTTAACCCAAACCCCTCCCCCCACCTCCCGTTGGAAAAACAACTCAAAAAGTCTGCATACTGATGAGAATGGGCCGGTAGCTTTAATGCTCAAATAGACAGAAAACACACTTTTCAACTGAAGAATCTGTCTGAGAAGGTAAACCAGAAACACAGAAGGCTGGGGAGAGCTTAAGTAGCCTCTGACTGATGGCCCCATCTTCCTTTTTCCCTTGCAGATGTCACAGTGGATCCTTTGCCTCCAGGACACATTAAGGTGAGAATACGATCTCTGGCTGTCTGGAACTAGCCTGAGAGTGTAAGGCAGCCATGGATATGGGATATGAGCTACTCAATGAGAGCCGCACTTGGCTTTCCCCTCCATTTGACCTTGATGGCTCTGTGGTGGCGGCCAACAGCTCCAACCAGACAGAGCCGTACTATGATCTGACCAGCAATGTAGTCCTCACATTCATCTATTTTGTGGTCTGCATCATTGGATTGTGTGGCAACACACTTGTCATTTATGTCATCCTCCGCTATGCCAAGATGAAGACCATCACCAACATTTACATCCTCAACCTGGCCATCGCAGACGAGCTCTTTATGCTGGGTCTGCCCTTCCTGGCCATGCAGGTGGCTCTGGTCCACTGGCCCTTTGGCAAGGCCATTTGCCGGGTGGTCATGACTGTGGATGGCATCAATCAGTTCACCAGCATTTTCTGCTTGACGGTCATGAGCATAGATCGATACCTGGCTGTGGTCCACCCCATCAAGTCGGCCAAGTGGAGAAGACCCCGAACGGCCAAGATGATCAATGTGGCCGTGTGGGGAGTGTCCCTGCTGGTCATCTTGCCTATCATGATATATGCTGGGCTTCGGAGCAACCAGTGGGGAAGAAGCAGCTGTACCATCAACTGGCCAGGTGAATCTGGGGCATGGTACACGGGGTTCATTATCTACACCTTCATCTTGGGGTTCCTGGTGCCCCTCACCATCATCTGTCTTTGCTACCTGTTCATTATCATCAAGGTGAAGTCCTCTGGGATCCGAGTGGGTTCCTCCAAGAGGAAAAAGTCTGAGAAGAAGGTCACGCGGATGGTGTCCATAGTGGTGGCAGTATTCATTTTCTGCTGGCTTCCCTTCTACATCTTCAATGTCTCCTCTGTCTCGGTGGCCATCAGTCCCACCCCAGCCCTTAAAGGCATGTTTGACTTTGTGGTGGTCCTCACCTATGCTAACAGCTGTGCCAACCCTATCCTGTATGCCTTCTTGTCTGACAACTTCAAGAAGAGCTTCCAGAATGTCCTCTGCTTGGTCAAGGTGAGCGGCACAGATGACGGGGAACGGAGTGACAGTAAGCAGGACAAATCCCGGCTGAATGAGACCACGGAGACCCAGAGGACCCTCCTCAATGGAGACCTCCAGACCACTATCTGAACGGCTTGAAAAAGAAATAATACGCCAAGCTCTGCCAAGTGGCATGTGCTCCCTGCCCCCACCCCTCCCTTCCTCCCATCCGTCACACCTGGCTTCTAGAATAGGGAATTGCTCAGCATGAGTCCAATCAGAGAATAGTGTTTGAGTCGGCTTGTCTGAGTGAAAGATAATGTATTAAATTGATGACACCCCCCTCTTCCCTTTAAAGTGAACATTTAAATGCAGGCAGACAATTCCAAGTCAGGAGAAGACAAGATCATGCCTGGGTGTGATCTGTAGAAATGGTGAAGCTCAAGAAAAATAGAAAAGTATATCTGCGTGTTTAAAACCTAATATGTAACCTGTGGTCTTAACATTTATTCTTATCTCTTCTACTACTCTCTAGCCCCTGTATAGTCATTACCTCTGTTTCCTGTGTTCCAAAGTACATGAGTAGTAATTGAAGTGTGCCTAGTGTAGGTGGACGTTTATTCCAATATGGTACCCGCAGAAATGGATCTGCCATGAAGCCAATAAAGTTTAAGCTTCAGGGATATCTCATGCTTGGGCAGTGTTTTCACATGACCACATGTTTTTGAAAAAAAAAAAAATGTAAAAGGAAGATATTTTTGTATTCTTTTTCTTAAAGAGGTCTCCTTAAAGCTTCAGTCTCTCAAACCCACCTCTATCCCTGGGTATTGGCCTTCCTAATTTCAGGCAAGTTAGATCAAAGTAAGAAGGGAGAGGGAGAAGGGAGTTGAGGGCCCAGAACATAAATTCATGTGTTTTCTCTTCTTCGATATAGTCAAAGAATTATTCATTTCCTCAGAAGGACACATAAATGGTTCTGGTCGCCAATTATTGGATTTATCAAAACAAAGCCTGCTTTTTTATAAGATTGCATTTTTTTCCTCCTTTATTTGTATTAGTTTTTCTTAGGGAGCCATGGAAGAGGAGAGTGGAGGAAATCACTGACACGAAAGGCAAAAAAAAAAAGGGACTGTGATTCTTGCGGGGAAAGCTTTTTTCCCCACCATGAAAATAAATGAGTAAGAATAAAGCAAAATGACATCTTACAAGAAAGCATGAAATTCCTTTTTTTAAAAATGCCCGACATGGATCCCTAATGAAAGAATGGAAATATAGTTCAATGACTCCTCTATTTTTTTTTAAGGAGTTGATAGAAATCTAGGCACTAAAATAAATAAATAAATAAATAAATAAATAAATCACAGTGCATTAAAGACCTGAGGCCCCTGTTCCTAACACATGAGCCCGTGCACCAGCCCAGCACATAGCAGGTGCACAAGGAAGAATGTCAGAAGGAGTCCCGTCTCTCACAGGCACACCTGTACCACCTTCCTCGCCCAGTAGACACGCCGAATATCCACCTTTAATTCCACACTCTCTGAGCTATTCCTCATGCACAGTCATAACGGACAGGCACTTCACACCATCGATGACATTTTTCTGTCCCTGAAATGTAGATGAGCTCACCAACAAATGGTAAGATGAGATGATGCCCCATTTCACCGATCGCCAGGGTCTGAACAAATACACACTCGTGTGTTTGTGGGGGCGCCATCACCTCTGGGTTTCTCGGAAAGCCTCACTCTTAGTGTCTCGTATATAGGTTTTACCATAAAAATGAGCTCTCCTCTTCTGGCTCCCTGAGCAAGGGCCATTTGAATGAATGACTAAGAACTCCTCCGGTGACGGTCACTGTGAATGGGCTGCCTTCCTCCTGTCTATACTATTCTCACCACCTCGTTCTCAAAAGTACTTATTGTGGCCTAGAGAAGTGTGTTCGGTGATATTATGACAGATCAGTAAATCCATGCAAAAATTAAAAGAGGTACAATTAGAAGATGCGACTCTAAGCAAAGCTGTGGCCCAGACGTGCCCGTGGTAAGATCTCCCACTACTTGTGGAGGAAAGGTCATCTACAAGATCCGCTGAGGACTTCCTAGCAGCCACAACAGACAGAAGGTTCCTCCTCCTCCTCTCCCTCCTCCGCCATAAAAACAAGCAAAAATTTGGAAGGAAATGCTTTAAGCCCAACATTACCATTACTAATAATATGAGATGTTCCAGGGTCTTTGAATAAAGGCTGATTTTTTTTTTCTTTAGGGAAGTGATTCCAAGGGACCAAGAACTGATGGAAATAATTTCAGGAAAGACGGACTAACCGTGTAGCCCTCAGGCCCCTGCAGTCAGACACTGCCTCCAAGGAGGCCATCTGATGTCTTCAAACAGAATGCCTATCCAGGTTTAAGGTCAGGGCTCATCAGCACGATGGCTGTTCTAAGGGGCCTTTAAGACTGAAGCTGTACTTCTGTCCAAATTAGCAGGCAGATTGCTATGATACGCTGTGCTCTGAATAGCAGATACGCTATGCTCTGAAAAGGAAATCTCCACTTTTTGAAATATCTCTTTCAGGGATAGCTGGCTCTCTGGTGGCCTTCATTCTTCCGAAAGAAGGAATAAACCTTTTAATTTCAACGTTAACACGATTTTAATTCTGAAATGTAAGCTGAGCCTCAACTCAACATTTAATTATGAACATAAATCTGCTGGATGCTGGGAGAGAACCAAAAAGCAAGGCCACTCATTGATTTGAGGGCAGCTGAACATTCGGATTATGCGAGCTACTCTGTAACCTACCCATTAGCGTGGGTAGTCAAGAGCTAGTTATATCTGGGTGAATGTGGCAAAAGAGGTATCAGGAGAGAGAATGGGATGCTGTGGCCCTTGAATGACGTTAGCTTGTGGTGGATATGGAACATGTAGTTGAAACTTTGGTGGAGTTCATGCCACGGGTTGGGACAGTCAAGGCGGACAAGCAGAGGGACACTGGAGGATAGGAGGACACTGCATTTCCTTCCTTTGTTTTTGGAAGAAGAAAGAGGAGGAGGAGGCAGGAAGCAGAGGAGGAGGAGGGAGAGGACAAAGAGGAAGAGGAGGAGGAATCATTACTCTTCGTTGGCTGTGGCTGCTAGGAAAGTCCTGAGCGGAACTTGCAGACGACCTTTCGTGACGTAAGAGTGTGGGATATTATGCATGTACTGTGGGGTCGCTTTTCCTGTAGTCTCATTTTAAAACTATACCTCTTTTTATTTCTGCATGGATTTATTTATCTATCACGAATGTATGCAGAGAAGAAAATGTGGGCTGGTGCGTGGGACTTCCAGAGCCGGCCGGGAACCGGAGTCTACTTGCTAACACAGATTTAACCTCCCCTCCGTGTTGGAATACAAGTGTTGGTGGCTGGATGGGAGCCCTGTGCTGGAAAAGTGTACAGTCTGGTCGTTGAGAGAGGTAGGAAGGAACGTCTGTCGGGATACGTGTTCCTCATCAGCTCCCAGTGTGACTGCATCAGGACCGCTGGTTAGGACAGAAGGCAGAAGTGAACTTTGGCCTAGTTGAAGGAAGGAGGCAAGAGAATCACCGAAAGGCTCCATATTTGGTTGGGAAGGTCCCATTAGTCTTTCTGGACCATGTGGTCTCTAATATAAATCACCACAGGAGGTTAGCCAAGCATTTGAGCTTAGAAGTCATAATTTATATTGGGCTACTTGTCTGATCCCCACATTTGCCGGATTCAAAAAATACCGAATTTCCTATCCAATGTTCTATCAGAACAAACCTTCACCTACACGGGTTGTCCCCCTTTTAATATGTGGATTTCTTGGAACATTCCCATAGGCAGAGTCTCATTTTTTTTTTCTAGCAGCTCATCTGGAAAGTTGGCCCCGGGGATTATATTCCACTTAACAGCTGAAAAGCTTCCGTGTGTCCATTACCCGAGTCAGCAGACCGTTAGGACTAGGAAAAGCAGCTCCAGGACAAGTGTTTGTGCCCCCGCCCCCATCCCCCCCCCCCCACTGGACACCAGGCTTCCTTTAGCTCCTCAGTGACCAGACACAGCCCGATCAACTAGTTTTCCCCCCTTAGATGTGTCAGGTTGTACGTATCTGGGCTGGGCTTCAAAACAGAGTTAAATATTAGCCAAGACTCCACCAAGCCGAACAGAAAGGTATTGATTTTAAAATGAATATCATATTAAATGGAACGCAGCGGTTCGCTCACCGGATTCCGTGGACTTCTGCCTCCCAGTGGACGGAGATTTCCAGCACGAGACGGATCACACAGACCCAAGCTCAGGGGGTGGAGAGGAAGGGGGGATGCTTTCACTTTTCACCCCTCTTCTCTCCTGGCATTACTGAGGGGACAGAGGCAAGGGAGAAGAAGGCCTCTCTGCCAGGATACCGGTGTCCGGTGAAGGGGAGGTGGCTCCCTTCCGCCCCGGGGCCTGTGAGGACTGGTCAGATGTACAATGGGCCTCACCTCGTAGGAAAGCCTGTGGATGAGTGTGAGGCAAGATGTACTCCCAAAGAAACCTGAACTGGCGTCCCATAGCCTTGCCCACTCCCACTGTTCAGTGCCTGGGGCCTCTGGTCACTTAAGCCACAGAGCGGGTCCCTTGTAGGGCAGTCAGGAAAGAAAGGAAGCTGAGCTGTGGTCCCAGTCAGACAGTTTTAGGCCTGGACTCAGGAGAGACACCATCATCCCAGGTCCTTACAAAGGTCAGATTGCAAAGCGTCTAGAACAGGGGCCCAGAGGGAAAATGCTAGTCTCACGAGAGGACATCCAGGGTCAGCTCTACCGGACCACCCGGCGACTCACCTCGGAGGAGCGGCAGTGCCACTCCTGGGCCGTGTTTTCCCCTCCTTCCTCGTGGATGGCTGGGGTACCAGTTCCCACGGAGGTTCCCGTCCCCAGGCGAGGGACAGTGGCCGTTACTGAGAGGGTGGGTAATTTTTCCTCCTGGGTATTATTTTTAGCAAGAAAGCCAAGTGGTTCTCTTATTACCTAACCAACACTTTTTGGTTTTCTCAACATTCGCCAGCACCCTAGTTCTCAGGACAAAGGGCCATTCTCCTACAGCTCACTACGCTCTGTGCTCCCAAGCACACGCACCCCTCGCGATGCAGGGCACACACACCACGGGGCACACGCGTGGCACACACATTCACGTGTGTGCATGGAACACGCCATGATGCACGTGTGCTCACACACGATACGCCTTCTAGATCTTGTAGGCGAGATGTTCATGCAGACATGCTCTGGTTTTCAGGGAAGGGACAGAACTATAATTTAATAACTCACTTGAAGTTTAGGGATATACACTCTTTCTTTTCCTTTTTCTTTTTTTCCTTTTTATGGGGAGGAGGACGTTGTGTATAAGCCAATTTTTCCCTCCAAATACCCCGTGCCTGATCATCGACTGCCTTCCTGAAGCCCCCCTGCTGTCTGTCCCTGCGAATAACAGGCCACCTCAATTAAAAAAAAAAAAAAAAAGGTAGAGTTGGCAAAACTACAAATCATCCCAGCCAGTGACCCAACGAGAAGCACGCGTTCTGCTAACCGTCATAGTTTTGCATAAGAAAAAACACACAATTTCTTTGGAGAAAAATCACTCAAAATGATTTTCAAACGGTTCTCACTGAGGACAGGGCCTAACAGGGATTTCTTCTGTTCCCGTGCTGCCTTTTTTTTTTTTCCTATTGAGGTCTAACCAACAGATACTACATTCGTTTCAG